AATTATTATGCCCTTTATACTTGATCTGTACTATCCATATCTACCCTTGCTTCCTATAAGAACAAGTGCTTCAGGTGGAACCAAATTACCTACCCATGCTATCCACTCTGCTGGCAAGCCTTCCTCTTCCCTGAGAGCCTACAAAATTCCTGGTCAATATTTAAGGCTTAGTTCATTTAAGTGATAAATAGCTGTTAAGAGTGCCAGACCTGAAGCTAGACTGTCTGAGTCTGAATCCAGCTCATACTGGCTGTTATAACCTTGGGCAAGTTATTTAATCTCTCTGAACCTCAGTTCTCTTTCCAAAGTAGAATAGTAGCAGCTACTTAACAGAGATTTGAGAACTGAGTTAACACATGCAAAGTACCTGGCCCACAGTAAATGCTACATTGGTATGTAGCTATCATCATGTCTTTACTACTTCCCCTTCTCCCAAAGGCAAACACTCCTTCCTTTGTACTCCCATGGCACTCTATCATAAGACTGTCACTACCCTGTGATGATCTTAGGGCAGGAACTTTCTTAATTTCCTCTGTCAACATAATCGATGTCATATTTTCATCTAAAATAACATCAATAAATGTGGAATCTGTTCAAGCTACATGCTGTGTAGGTGCAAAAGAAAATGCAAACATCTGGCCAAGACTTCAAAGATAATCAAATTTCAAGTGGACAAAAAAAAAAAGGTGAGAAAAAAAAGCATGCTACAACAGTAATAAGCATGCATAAAGCAGACACTAAAGTGCAGAGGTGGCTGGGCAATGACAAGCAGACTAGAATGTCTAGTGCTAAGAATATACAGAAAAATGAAGCCAGCCTGAAAGTGTCACGAATTGTGTTTAATGCTAGCCTAAGGAGTTTGAACCTTACTGCAAGAACTGGGTCCAAGTAAATACTTTTGACTAGTGTCCTTATATGACTTAGTCATTTTAAGTTAGGGAACTTTAAATTATGTGAAGCCTGGATTGGAAGGTAGACAGGAGACACAGATCAATGACAGGTACTGCTACAATCCATGCAAGTTATCTAAACATTAAGTGGGGCCATACAAATGAAAGATGGGATAAACATTTTTGAGAGGAAATTAAATGGCTTCGGGCACCCCCAGTGGCGCAGCGGTTTAGCGCCGCCTGCAGCCCAGGGCGTGATCCTGCAGACCCGGGATCGAGTCCCATGTCCGGCTCCCTGCATGGAGCCTGCTTCTCTCTGCCTGTGTCTCTGCCTCTCTCTCGCTCTGTATCTCTCATGAGTAAATAAAATAAAAATAAAATCTTTTTTTTTTTTTTAAAAAGAAAGAAATTAAATGGCCTCAGTGACTATTCTGATATGGAGATGAAGGATAGGATTCAGAAGTTTCTTGCCTGCATGACCGGAAAATGATTACTTGACAAAGATAAGGAACAGAGAGGAGCAAAGCTAGAATCCAGGAGAGGTGTCTTGACTCCACCTGAAGTAATTTTGAAAACAATGAATAATTTATTTAGAATTAAAATCAAATGCAAAGAGAATTATTCCATCACACTGGCACCCACTGCTCTTATTTAACAAGCACATCAGAGCAAAATGTGTCCAGTTCAAAGGGCTCATTTGTTTACTAAATAATATGTCACTGTCCTTCATTTTGGGGAAAAAAGCCTATTATGTAGAGGTACGGCTGAAGAGTGGCCAGTAATTTTCAATACTGTGTATTTCTTAAAGCCTGCTTTTTAAAAAAGTTTTTCACATAACAATATTTTCTTGAGGCTGTAAGATTCTCTTCTCTGCCAAATATCCTGATGAAAATTGAAGGCTGCTTAAGAATGTATCTAAAAATGTTGCCTTTAGTTTTGCTTACTCGCTACTCTGTATGAAATGCTTGCATTATTTTGAATCTGTGATTTATATCAAAATTCTTTTTTTTTAAAGATTTTATTTATTTATTCATTCATGAAAGACACACAGAGAGAGGCAGAGACACAGGCAGAGGGAGAAGCAGGCTCCATGCTGGGAGCCTGATATGGGACTGATCTCGATCCCAGGTCTCTAGGATCTCGCCCTGGGCCAAAGGCAGGCGCTAAACCACTGAGCCACCCAGGGATCCCTATATCAAAATTCTTATCAATATATGCACTTCATGCTTTTTCTCTATCAAGACTTTCTCAAAAGGCTGATCAAGATAACCTTAACTTTTAGTACAATGTCTAAAAGTTCTAATTATGGCAGTCTACTTCTATCAGAACAAACACAATATAAGGAAACTGGATATTTCTGTATTGCCGTAAGCAAACTTCAGTGCACAACAGAATATTCCTGGTTGTTTGCTGAAAAAGTAGTGTATGGCAATTACACTGGATTTAAAAAAGAAAAAGAAAAAGAAAAAAATATTTTAAAGAGTAAAATGTCCTTCTCCCTACTTCAGGAGATTCTGATTTACTATAGCAGGACCCAGAAACTTTTGTTTCGTTATCCAAACACCCCAGGTGATTCTGAAGCAAATGTTTCAAGGCTACTTTGAGAAACACTTGTATTAGCTATGATATTAGAAACATGGTTTAGTTTCAAGTCTACCTTTCCCACTCATTGGTTGTGTGACCTTACACCGCTTACTTAGTTTCTTCAAGGTTCAGATTTCTTATCTGTAAAAGGTGAATACTAAAAGTTTCACAAGGATAATTAGAGGATATAATGAAACAATGCTTATACAGTCCTTAAGACAATGCCCACCTATAACTATGATTCACCCAGTTCCACAGGACAAAAATAAGGAAGAACTGCACATAAATTCATATTCACCATGACAGTCTAAATGCTTTGTAATTCATGGTAATGTTTTTTCACTTCCTCCTGGTCAGGCATGCTCTTTGTCTCCCTTTCCCTTTAATTTTATAATACATGAAAAAAGTTTTTGGACACATTACATAAGTGCTTCGAGTTTCATAAACAAATTTTACCAAAGGCATAAAGCAATGAACGTGAATGTTAACCAAAAAATATTTTCATATCAGCATAAATATTCCAAAAATTAACACTTCTACTGAATATTATTAGTCAGATTTTACCAGAGAGCAAATCCTGTTCGCTTTTGCTGGTAGACCACAAAATTAGAAACAAAGTTATCTAAAGAAAGAATGCCAACTGCTTTACAATTAGAAAAATCAGTTTAGGGGATCCCTGGGTGGCTCAGCGGTTTAGCGCCCCCGTCTGCCCAGGGCTGATCCTGGAGACCTGGAATCGAGTCCCACATCGGGCTCCCTGCATGGAGCCTGCTTCTCCTTCTGCCTGTGTCTCTGCCTCTCTATCTCTCTGTGTCTCTCATGAATGAATGAATGAATGAATGAATGAATAAAATCTTTTTTAAAAAGAGAATAATCAGTTTACTGTACTATAATCAATTCATCTCCTTTCATTAGGAAATGGCAAATCTACTGGCTTCCCTATTTTAAAATCCAAAATGTAATTTTTAAAGTGCCCATCTAACTTTAATGTCTTATCTCAGAAGATGCAGATACACATCTACAGAGTTTTTATATATTTTATTTTTATTTTTTAAAGATTTTATTTATTTATTAATGAGAGACACACACACACACACAGGGAGGCAGAGACACAGGCAGAGGGAGAAGCAGAGGGCTCCATGCAGGGAGCCCGATATGGGACTCGATCCCGGCTCACCGGACCTAAGGCGGCGCTAAACCGCTGAGCCACCTGGGATGCCCTCCATAGAGTTTTTAAAAACTTATTAGAAACTAAACTTTTTAGAAATAACCAGAAAACCTATATGCTGCTTTCACACTAACTAGAAATTCTAAATGATGCTTTTGTGTAAACTGAGAAATTAAAACATCATTTATAAAAGAATGCAGCCCCCTCCTTATCCTTCTACTTGAAAGATTTATAAAACTCATCAGTTAATGGGGATCCCTGGGTGGCTCGGCGGTTTGGTGTCTGCCTTCCGCCCAGGACATGATCCTGGAGTCCCACGATCGAGTCCCACATCAGGCATCCTGCATGGAGCCTGCTTCTCCTGTGTCTCTGCCTCTCTATCTCTCCTGAATAAATAAAAATCTTAAAACAAAAACCCTCATCAGTTAATACTAAATACTTCATTTTTTTATTTAAAAAATAATATCCTACAAGAATATTTTTATCAGCTGCCAAAAATCGACTGATGTATCTTTCACATTAACTAACATGAATAAGTAAAGGCAAAATGGAAAACTGAAGTGCAGGCTGTTAAATGTGATGGACCCAAGGAACCTTACTGAGCTGCAATCATATATCAGTATTTTTCAAGTGCTCACTTGTACAAGGCACTATATAGATTACCACCCTTCAGCCAGGGCAAATGAGGGGAGAGTGTGAGGGAGGAATCGGAGCCCTGGGGGCCCTTTCTTAAGTAGCATGCAATTGGCCTCAAACCACCAAGAGAACTCCGTGAAAGATGTATTTTTTGGACATTAAGAAATGTTAAGGTACCCTAAGCTTCCAGTACTTTGCACAATCTCGTAGGATACTGGAGAAGAGTTAAGGTTCGGCAACTGCAAAATTCCTTGCAAAAGGGTAATTTAGAAAAAGCTTGTATGTACTATATCCGTTTTAGAAGATAGGAGTGGGCGGCACGGGTTCGAGGTCCACAGCGGGAGAAAACTGAGGGTGCCGCCGCGAAGGTCTGAAAATGGGTTTTCAGAGCCCCCGAAGTGTCGGGGGGTGGGGGTAAGGCTCCAGCTCCGGCCTCCACTTCTACTTCCCCCCAGCGCCCCGAGCCGGCCAGGGGAGGGGGTCCAGCAGAGGGTCGGCGTCGGGGCGGCGGACAAGTAAGCGGCCGTGGGTCTCGGGGAAATCAGAACCGAGCGGCCCCGAGGGAGGCACGGCTGCAAGAGGGCGGGGCGCGGTGCAGCGAGGAAACCGAAAGGACGCCGGGGAGAAGGTGCGGCGCGACCGGGGACCCTGCCCGGTACCACACCCGGGGGCCAAGGCGGGGGGCCGAAGGGTCCCACGAGGGAGAAGGAGGCAGAACTTACTCCGCGGTCCTCCTCCGAGAGGAAGTCGGGGCCGTCGTCCAGGCCTTCCTGCGGGGTCGCCGGGCCCGGCGCACCGAGGAAAAGATGGGAGTTGGGGAGACACAAAGGGAGACATTAGTGCTAGGCCGGCGCGGCCCCCGCGCCCGCCCCGCGCCCGCCGCCCCCACCGCGCGCCCGGGGCTCGGCACCGCTGAGAACACCCACCATCATGGCTGCTCCGAGGCGAGGGCCAGCGCAGGCGCGCACCGCACCGCGGGGCCGGAGGGAGCCGGCCGTAGAGGGAGGGGCGGGGCTGGTGGCGGCAGGAGGGGGCGGGCTCTCGGAGCGGCCTGCCCTGTCCCGCCCCGCCCTGTGCCGGGGCCCCGGGGCCGGCTCGCCGCGGGAAGAAGGAAGGCTGGGCCCTCCGCCCAGGGTTGCAGCGCCGGGTCGGAAAGGGCCCGCAGGCCCAGGCCCACATGGCTGCCGGCAGGTCGCGGCCGGCCGGCTCTGACCCGGAAGGGCCGAGCGCCACCTGGGGAGCCGTCCAGTTTCCTTTCCCCCAGGGCTGCAGCGGAAAAAAAAAAAAACAAAAAAAAAAACAAAAAAAAAAAAAACGAGCAAGCGCTCTCCAGAAGCCACAATGAATCGTCTAGTTTTTGTATTATGCCACGCGGTAATTAATCACAATTAATATTTTGCCCATAGAAATTGTGGGAACTGAGGGCCTCCGCACAGTCAGCTGTAATCAAGCTTTTACTGTTGGTGAGGTAATAACACCTCAGCGGTTGGGGCACTAATGGTTGTGGGCTATAAAGATGAGCTGAGCTGTCCGCGTTACAAGAGTACGCCTTTCCTTTATGTGAACAAGCGCCTCTACTCTACTGACCTACTCTAACTGTCCAGGGGGACAGCACCACAGGAGTGGCCACAGGCAATTTAAAAGATGCAACAAAATCATTCCTTAACCTTTGCCCCATGTCACCTGCTATGCACTCACACACGCGCACGCGCATACACCATCCTTGTGCTTTCAGTCACTTAATGGCATCAGCATCTTTACATTTTTCAGGCCAGAAACCTCAAAATCCTATTCAGATCTCTCCTTCCCCTCCATCACTCGTCACACCTTTAGTAACAAATTCTATTTGGTCTATAATTGATTATCTGTCTTATCTCTTAAATTGGTCCCAGTCCACAACAATGGGTCTCTTCCCTTCCACAGCAACTACCCTCAGTATTTGTCTGGACTTTTGCAATACTCTCCTAACTTTCCTTATTTCTACCTCTCTCTCCTCCATTCTATATCCTGCTGCCAGTTTTCCTCCTAAGACACAGATATCCATGATAAGGGTGCTAACTTGTTCAGTAATCTTTATGCATCTTTATCATATGAAGGTCCAACTCTTCCACCTAGCATTTAAGGCCCTCCACACTTGATTCTCTCCCTATTTTGCCAGGCGCTCCGTCCTATCTTGTTGAGTCAAAGCTCTCAAAACAATAATGTTAAACTATTAATATTTTCATGAGAACTTCTTGTAGCTTTCGTTTTGTATGTAAGGAGAACTGAGGTATAGAAAAATTACATTACTGCCCAAGCAAGGATTACTCTCCAATTTGATGGGGGCGGGGGGTGTCTTTATTTTTTGTCTTTTGTTTCTTGTTTTCCAGTGCATTGTAATAACGACTGGAGTGGTGTTTTTTTCACTGAGAGTCATGAGGCATCATGTGGTGCCAGTGTAGTGTGATGAAGTGTCAGGAGGAATGTTCTGGTAATTTGTTGCTGATGAAAAGTGCCAATATTTCCTAATGATTTGTTTTGGGATTGAAGGTAATGCCTGTAGAACTCTTCTTCCTAGTTGGAGAGAGGAGTGGAGCTACAATTAATGGGTAGGCTTTGCATAGAACTAGGAGGAGGGGCAAGTGTCTCCGGTGAACAAAGGTTGAGAAGAACCACCTAGGACCACCTAAATGTCTCTGATCATTAACCAAGAGTTTCAACACTTAAGCCAAGTCCAGAAACACTCAAATTATCAAATGTCAAAACTTTGAAATCACTAATTAGGGACACCTGGGTGGCTCAGCAGTTGAACATCTGCTTTTGGCTCAGGGTGTGATCCCGCTCCCGGCCGGGTTGAGTCCCACATCAGTCTCCCTTCGAGGGGCCTGCTTCTCCCCCTGCCTTTGTCTCTGCCCCTTGCTGTGTGTCCCTCATGAATAAATAAATAAAATAAAATCTAAAAAAAAAAAAAAAAAGAATTCACTACTGAAAAACAAGATTTAAAATATAAGTAGCCAAATAAAATTATCAACAAGGACATTTAGTAATCACTGCAGTGAAAATCAATAGCTGAAAACTCACATGAATAGAGAACCCAACCGTGAAACAATAAAGTTATTCATTAATACCTGAGTCTACCTATCCGGGTAAAGGTCTCAAACTATATTTTGTAAATGATAAGAAGGAATTATCAGTAACTGACACTAGCAAGTATCACAAAGGCAATTACAGAATTTAAGGCATATCAAAGGAAAAGAAATTAAAAAAAAAGTATTTTCAAGAAACCTAAAAAACCCACAAAAAACAAAGGAAAAGAAATTAAAATCAGCTCACATAACAGATTTTTCTGCTACTTATAAAATAAATCAAAGTTCGCCTGGGTGGCTCAGCGGTTGGGCGTCTGCCTTCGGCTCAGGGTGTGATCCCGGGTCCCGGGATCAAGTCCTACATCGGGCTCCCTGTAGGGGGCATGCTTCTCTCTCGGCCTACGTCTCTGCCTCTCTCTCTGTGTCTCTCCTGAATAAATAAATAAGATCTTAAAAAATAAAAATAAAGAAGATATTAAAGCTGAACCACTTGTCTAGTACTTTTTATTTTTAAAAGTTTTATTTATTTATTTTAGAGAGAGAGACAGCGTGAGTGGGAGGGGCAGAGGGAAAGGGAGAGGAAATCCCTGAAAGGCTCACACCCAGCATAGAGCCTGACATGGGGCTCAATCCCAGGATACTGAGATTATGACTTGAGCTGAAATCAACAGTCAGATGCTTAACTAACTGTGCCACCCAGGAGCCTCTTCCCTAGTACTTTTAACCAAATGATTTATTTTTCTTCTTGTTTTAATAGATTTTTTATGAGATTGCCTACTTCTATATAAATTCCTTTTTTTCTATATAAATTTCATGAGCAAATTATGTTTTTGAGCAAAAATTGCAATCTGATTACTTTATATAGATTTAACTACACGAAAATAAAATATTACAATTGGGATTAGATACCCAGTAGTGTGCTTCAAAATCAAAAGTATTGGAAGATTTTAGAGAAGAATAAACTTTTAGAGAATAATAAAGTCACTTTTAAATTTTGAAAATCAAAAAATGTATTTGTTTTGAACATTTTTGTCAAACAAAAAAATCAAGTATTAGGGCACCTGGGTGGCTCGGCGGTTTAGTGCCTGCCTTCAGCCCAGGGCATGTTCCTGGAGTCCTGGGATCGAGTCCCACATAGGGCTCCCTGCATGGAGACTGCTTCTCCCTCTGCCTATGTCTCTGCCTCTCTCTCTCTCTGTGTCTCTCATAAATAAATAAACAAAATCTTTAAAAACAAACGAAAAAAACCCCAAGTATTTTTCTAGAAGAAAACATTTTAAAATATGAAATAGTGATTATTTAATTAGATTTAGAAGAAAATTGTTTAATTCCTTTTATCATGTTCTGATCAAAGAAGGTTTCACCAAAATGTATTTTTACCAACTCCTCACTTCTTCAAATTCTAGATCATTTTTTGTTTTGGACAACCTTTGTATATGTGCTGCCGAAGCGAGCACATTTGGACAACCTTTGGATCCTAATTCTTGCCTCCTCCCTGGGAGTTATGCTACAACAGAATTAGGAAGATTGCTGAACTCTGTTTTTTCGAATTATATTAATTGGGATGTGTTTACCTGCAAGTAACAGAAAACATCAATTCAAATAAAGTGAGCAGTGTAGAAATTTATCTCACAACAAAAAAAAATCAAGAAATAAGGGATCTCTAGGCATAATATAGATCTTCCTCAATTTATGATGGTGTTACATTCTGATAAACCCATCATAAGTTGAAAATATCATAATTGAGCATATGTTTAATAAACCTAACCTATTCAACATCATAGCTTAGCCTAGCCCATCTTAAACATGCTCAGAACATTTATATGAGGCTACAGTTGGGCAAAATCATCCAACACAAAGTACAACAAGTGTAGATTGTCTCATATATTCATTGAATTCTGTACTGAAAGTGAAAGACAGAATGGTTGCATGGGTGCTGAATGGTTGTATGGCCTTGTGATTGTATGGCCAACTGGAAACTCTGGTTCATTGCCAATGTCCAGCAGTGGTAGCTTTGACAAAACAAATCACTTATAATCCAGCACTTGGAGATAATCACTACTTATACTTTGGCAAATAAGCTTTTAAATGTTTTCCCATGCATATGCCTCATCTAGTATTTTTTTTTATTGATTTATTTAGAGCAAGCATGAGAGAGAGATTGTGTATGAGTAGGGGGAGGGGAGCAGAGGCAGAGGAGAGAGAATCTCAAGCAGACTCCCCGCTGAGCCCTCAGTCCATCTCGGGGCTTGATCTCAAGACCCTAAGATTACAACCCAAGCTGAAACCAAGAGTTGGTCACTGAAGCAACTATGCCACCCAGGTGCTCCTCTCATCTAGTATTTTTTGGACATAATCAAGATCGTGTTTTATAGTGTTATGTCATATTATTATATATATATTTCTATTCTTCAGCTTGAATTTTAATAACTGTATAATATTCTATCAGCTAGATATATCAATGCATTTAACCAAACCCCATTGTTGAAACTGACATTGTTTATATTTTGGTTTGTTACTTGAAAACAAAAAAGCATAAAACACATTCTTTTTAAAAAAATTTATTTATATATTTGAGAGTGAAGGAGAGAACATAAGCAGGGGGAGCAGCAGATACAGAGGAAGAAGCAGGCTCCCCACTGAGAAGGGAGGCAGACTCGGGCTCTATCCCAGAACCCCAGGATCATTATCTGAGCTAAAGGCAGATGCTGAACCAACTGAGCCATCCAGGTACCCGTTTGAAACATATCCTAATAGTTAAATTTTTGGAAATATCCTTGATTATTTTTAAGATGTGTGATTATTAGGTCAAAAGTTTTAAGTACACATTCCCAAATTATGCTCTAGAAGTGTTGTACTAATTTACACTCCCACCAACATTGTATGAAGTGTTCATTTTCCCTTATACCATTTTCCTACAGGGGTTGTAGG